GTCCTTTTCGTGATTCCTTCCAAGAACACAAGACTCCCAGCCAGGCCTCTCCTGACCCAGCCTCTTACCCCTCGATCTGCCACTCCTTTCCAAGGCTTGAGTCTCCACTTGCTAAATGCCTACCTGCCCCAAAGCCCCTCCTGTCCCATCTTCTGGCTCCATTTTGTTTGCTGTTGCTAGTTGCCATCAAGTCAATTCCTACGCATGACACCCCATGTGGGCAGAGTAGAACTGCACTCCATAGGGTTTTTAATGGTTGATTTTTTTTCCTTTGGAGGCAGATTGCCAGGGCTTTCTTCCGAGGCACCTCTAGGTGAGTTTGAACCACCAACATTTTGGCTGGCAGTGGAGCACTTAACCATTTTCATCACTCAGGGATCCTCTGGCTCCTTCACCCTCCTTCCTTTGTTTCTATCTCAAAAGCTTGGGATGAACAAAGATCTCCCTGTTGCCGCAAGTGACTTTAGATTCCTAAAAAATACAAGGTGGGAGGTGCTTGATTCTCATGTAAATGATTTCACACGGGAGTCAAAAATGAATAACAGTACGAACTGAGGCCTGGAGCATTTAACCTCCCTGTCCAAACAACAGAAATGATGAGAACATTTCTGGGTGAGGCGTGGAGATTGACTGCTGACTATGTTATTGCGCTGGGAAATGTCGGAAGCGCACGTTAGGGGAGAGGAACAGTTTGGTTGAAAACGGCTTTTGATTAAAAAAAAAAACCCAGCATTCATCTAAAACAATAATAACAGCGAATAATAACAGGGCATGTAATAATGAACTATTCACAGGCATAAGAGGTAATTGTTCAATTAGGATCCGAGGGTTTCAGAGACTGTCTTTTCTGATGGGGGCCCCTTTATTTTTGACTCCAGCAGCACTAATTATTTCCCACTAGTGCTTTAAACTTGGAGGGGGAAAAAAAAGCCATCCTGTCAAATATGACATACAAGTGCTTTACCATTATTAAATACACATGCATGCACATAAAAAGAAATCCTTGTTGGAATCAAGTTAAGGGTGTGATCACAGGGAGAAGGTTCTAAAAAGAAGCTGACAGTCTTGGGGGCTCGGCAAAAGTGGCAGGTGACAACCAGCGTCCTACCTGCAAAAGCGCCTGGCCTCATCACCTCTCACCCCTCAGGGATCAGTGTTTCCTCTCCAGCATGGGTTCTGAGCTCAGAATGCCTGGGTTCAAATCCCACCTTCACCACTTACCAGCCAGATGCCTCTCTGACCCTCAGTGTCCTCCTCTATCATATAATACGGAATCTACATATGGAATAAGGAGCCCTTGTGGCACAGCGGTTAAAGCGTTTGGCTGCTAACCAAAAGGACAGCGATTCGAACCCACCAGCTATTACAAGAAAGATGTGGCAGTCTGCTTCCATAAAGATTACAGCCTTGGAAACCCTATGGGGCAGTTCTACTCTGTCCTATAGGGCCGCTGTAGGCAACGGGTACGTACAGAATGCAGTGGACATCTGGTTTTATTGGCCTGCCCGGGTTCTGGTTACATCTTCTTATATCTGTAAGGTCCCTGGGTGGTGCAAATGGTTTGCGCAAGACTACTAAGGAGCCCTGGCAGTGCAATGGTTAAACCCTCAGCTGCTAACCAAAAGGTTGGTGGGGTTCGAACCCACCCAGCTGCTCTGCTGGAGAAAAGACCTGGCGATCTGCTCCCATAAAGATTACAACCTAGGAAACCCTATGGGGCAGTTCTACTCTATCACATGGAGTCACTGTGAGTCAAAATCAACTCGATGGCACCTAACAACAATTAACCCAAAGGCTGGTGGTTTGAACCCACCCAGCAGTGTGGCAGAAGAAAGGCCTGGCCATAACATAGTTTATTAAGAAAAGGTTCTGCATCCCACTTTGGTGAGTGGCATCCAGGGTCTTAAAAGCTTGCGAGTGGCCATCTAAGATACATCAATTGGTCCCATCCTGCTTGGAGGAAAGGAGAATGAAGAACACCAAAGACGTAAGGAAAATACTAGCCCAAAGGACTAAAGGACCAAATGAACCAGACTCCACCAACCGGAGACCAGAACTAGATGATGCCCAGCTACTACCAATGACTGCCCTGACAGGGAACACAACAGAGAGTCCCAGCCAGAGCAAGAGAAAAACACAGAACAGAACTCAAATTCATGTAAAATGACCAGACTTAGTGGTCTGACGGAGACGGGAGGAACCCCTGAAACTACAGTCCCCAGACGCACTGTTAACCCAGAACTGAAACCATTCCAGAAGCCCACTTTTCAGACAAAGATCAGACAGAACTATAAAACAAAAAATAATACACTTGAGGAATGTGCTCCTTAGTTCCGTTAGATATACGAGACCAAATGGGCAGCTCCTGTCCAAAAGTGGGATGAGAAGGCAGAAGGAAGGGACAGGAATTGGTCGAGTGGACACAGGGAACCCGGGGTGGAAAGGGGGGGTGTGCTGTCACATTGTGGGGTTACAACT